ATGCAAGGCGATCTACTTTGAGATAAAGATGTGGATAAGTTAATTATTGAACGAATTGATATCAGCGGGGATTCACTGCTGATGGATTGTAATCACGGAACAAATTTTTAAATCCAATCTCGTGATGTTTCTGTTCCACACTCTTGACCTACTGTTATGTTCTATTCCACTCTTCAGTTGTTTTGTTTTGTTCTGTTCTTCGCGTCTTTTTTTGGGAACTGTTCTGTTTTATTCCTTGGAACAGAACAAAAATAGAATAGAAACATCACTAATCCATTTAACAAGTTCAACATCTGTCATGCATTAGCTAATCGTGAGCAGCATTAACCCATCTAATACGATTCGGCTGGTTAACATAGACGTGAAAATGTTTCAGATGCGAATAGGTAAGCTAATTTGTACAAGAACAGAGATAAAACGCTGATCACTCAATACACCCATGTAGAAGATGCATTATGACGTTGATAACAAAGAACAAATTAACTTGTTCTTTGTCAAAAAAATAACAAGTACACACCAACAGCGATTTTGTTTTTTGTTTTGTTTTATCATTTGAAAATGTCAAATGGTTGTAGTGTCTTATGATATCAGTGCATTATCACATTAACAGATGCATTTCAATTACTGGAGCAAAATAGATTTAGGCGAATGAAAAATTCCCCTCCATGAATCATTAAAAATCGTATTTCACTTCATTAGCGGAATATTTCGTGAACTGAAACAATTTTCATCGATATATGTACTTGCATTTTATCTGATTGTGAGTCTCCGTCACGATTCTTAGATGGATGAGAATCACAACCGACGTTTTGAGAACACATAATTAGTTGATATTTTTGAGATGAATGGCTACGTGCATATTCTTAGCGATAAATCTTTACAGGGTCACTCATTAGTTTACTTTCCAGAACTTTAATAACGAGAACACAATCAACATACATTGTCGAACGTGGTATACTGCCGGCTTCGAGACCGGTAAATTCTTTGAGAGACATTCTTCTGACTTGAACGCGGTCATCACTGCTTGACTGCAACATTTTCCATTATTGAACGGATGATTTTAGAATGATTTGAAAATTTGAAGTGATGCTGAATCAGTTCATATTCGGGGCTATAAATTTGTTTGCTGATTCATTTTTTTGTGAGTTTTTTTCTTCAGTTATTATTCGAACAATTTAGAAATGACTAAATAAACACTGAGTTCTTGAATTAACGAACCAGCGAATACTTATAATTGGAGAAAAACAATATTTTTCAAATTCAGCCATCCGAAAAAGGCGATTTTATACGAATCCATCTCGAGATTTCATCATACAACAATTATTCTCTTTTTTGCACATACGAAATGAAAGATTACATTTGCAATTTAAAAAAATAAATGATCACATTTCAAACGGTAACATGTTAATTACGTGCAAAACATCATGAGATCGACATTTTGAAGACGTTGCTACAGTTGTCAGTGTTTCATTTCGAATACTGATTGATTGCCACTCAAAAGGCTTGCTTTTTTAAGGGATGGATATTCATCTGAGAGTGCGGCGATCAGTGCTTCATCGTCTTTAGAAGCTGTTACGCGAATGCCCAATCCTTTATTCAATCCAAAACAATCGCATCAACGTTTTTTACTCAATCCATTCTCAAAATTTCCACCGAACATCAATCATGACAAAAATAACGAAGAAACGAAGCAATTTTTGTGTTTTTCGTTGAAGTGTTC